ATTAAGTTCCTTCTGATTTGAGGGATCTATAAGGCTTTGCAATCCACCTGGTCAGATATTCCTTAACAGCCCTTAAGGTGCCAGGTAGTAATAAATATGCAGTTACAACTTTCCTTTTGTTTTCACCTCTCATAGCCTGTCACTTTCTTCCCCAAACCTTGCGGGGGGGGAGGCAGGGGAGGAGGGGGGCAGGCCGTGTAACATTTTTGACAACTGAGCTATACTTTCTTAGGTAATAAAGAAGTTCATTGTTTTGCAAACAAACACCATATGCAAACGACTTCTTTAGTTTTCTTGCAGCTGTTATTCTCCAGCCTAATTGTATTTTCACTGGAGTGCTAGCAGGAGGCCTGAATGAGTGTGGGCTGCTGTCCTTCTCAGAAGGGACTTCAACTAGGAACTTTATCTCCGTAGGAACGCAGAGCTGCCAACACACACTAGAATGTTTTTGGCTAATTTCAAAGAAGTTTTCAGTTCCTGCCTGTTGGCCCCGTGTAGACTCAATCATTAAGTCCCCTGCAGTTAAGATTTGAAACTGGGAATATTGGGAAATGTTATAAATGGGTATTTTTTAAGGGACAGCCAGCTCTATGCTAGGCGTCTCCTCTCCTTTCATGCCCCTCCCCCTCCCCAAATGCGCAGCCAGTGAATCCTGTGCATCAGCTCAAATGTGTGGGGAATGCACGTCATTTAATGCACAGGGACAAGGGTAACTCACAAATGGTAGAAAATTGTTTTGTTTTTATTAAATTTGTAGAAATAAAGGAGATTTCTTATCATCTTACTTTGTTTGTACATGAATATTTGATGGGCATTATTAAACATTAAAGTAACATGAAGTAGGCACTTATTTTTGGATTTCCAACAAAATTAGATCCAGGCTTCTAGATGAAATAACTGCTTCTCCTTCACATTCCTGTGATTCAGCCACCACCTGATTTGAAAATGTTTCTTGGGCTCTAATATCAACCATGTGTACCTGAGGCTCTGTCTTTCTAGTGGGTTGAAAGGTGGCTGAGTTTATGGTTGGCAGTTACCTTATCCCTGCCCTGGGTGTCCCAGTTTAGACTGGAAAGGCCGCCCCCAGCTGGCACTGACCTCTAAATGACCCCTAACTTTACAGGCTTAAACTGCAGGAGTTGCCGAAGAGCAGAAGTCTTTCTGGCCAGCACTTATTACTGCTGTGTTGGTGATAAAACTTCAGACAGCCTAATTGATGGCTTTGCTGACCTAACAATACCTTATGAAAGCAGAGTGCCAGAGCCTGGTCTCCATTTATGACCAGCTGCAAAGGGAAGCTGGGTCTCCCGATGATGGGGAGTTTAGGGAAAGGAAAAATCTTCCAGCCTGCAAACTTTAACCAGATTCTGTTTTGTTCAAAAAGCAGAAGCATGATTGCAAATAGAAGTTTTCTCAGGGAAACCTTTTCTCTTCCCTGAGCTTTTTTAGCAAGTCAGCCTCCAGCTGATTATGAGATGATGGAGGAGATGATATAGTCAACTCTTTTTGAACACTGAAAGAGAAAATTGCCTATGAATTAAAAAGATAATGTTCAGTAGATGTTCGAATGGACTGTGTTCTCTGCAACAGTTGTGCAGAGGTGTTCTCAGAGCACAGAAATTTCATTTTATGACTGAACTTCTCTATTTTATTTCAGGTTTATTAATGCCAGAAGAAGAATAGTACAGCCCATGATCGACCAGTCAAATCGAGCAGGCAAGTTCCAGCTAGTATCTATATTCACACCCCACAGGCACAAATCCTCATCAAGTTATACTTCAGGAGTTTCATCACCTGGTAAATAAATGCTTCTATCAGGCATTCTGGGAGAATTTTTTTTTTAAGGTCCCCAGAATTCCATTCTAGGAAGCAACTTCACTAATTGGTGCTAATTGGAGATTTCCCACCCCGACTCTACTGAGACTGCTTTTTATTTTCTTTCTGAATTGGTAATTGGGCACAAGCATTAGTGCCACAAGCAGTTTGTTTGACTGTGAGCTCTGGAATTACTCATTGCTTGTCTGCATCCAATCAGTAGCACACTCTCATTTTCTTGTTACCCACAATTCCGTGGTGTGCGTGTTGCTTTCACTCTTGGAGCATCCCCTGTTAAACTCATCATATCCATTCATTTGCTTTGACTATTCATAATATTCTATTAAAGCTTGAAGAGCTGCATTTCCAGCATTATTTTTTTATTAAAAAATTATTATCTTTGTTTAAAGTGCTTCACATCCACCCCACTAAAATACATGTGGGTTTTCCTTACAATCTCTCTCAGTTTCTCTAATGCAGTTATTATACAGAGTCATACCTGTAAACTCCTAATTATTTGAAATAGGCATTTCCTTAGTTTACTGAGTTGTGGTATTCTGTAGGAAGGTCTATAGGAAAAAACTATTTTGCATGTGGTAATGACTCATCACTAACAACGGTGTCAAATCTGACAGATTTAAATCATGGCCTCAGTTTAAAGAATTGAAGAAAATTCATTTTCTTT